CAACACAACCCTAACCCTGAACCCTGAACACAAGCAGAATACTGGATGAATTATAACTGCTGGTTCTGCCTCTGCTGACATTGAATAATAACACTTAAATATAAAAATCAATCATGCTGAAGTTATTGATTACTTATTGTTTATTAGTATTAACTTTATCAGACAGTGAATATCTGTGCTGCTCTTTCCAAACGATGAATAAACATTTTTCCAAAGCACGTTGAAAAAATTTCAGTTTATAATCAAAGACTGACTGTCACGCACACACACACGCACACACACACACACACACACACACATCCAGTTGTTACACTGTGGTACCAAAAACCTGCTAATGAAACATGAGCTATAACACAACCTGACCAAAAACAACTTCTCGTTGTTATCTCTGTAATATGTGTGTGTGTGTGTGTGTGTGTGAAACAGAAACACGGTTCAGATGACGACAGTCTAATCAGTGATATAATTATGTGCTGTAGCTCATGTGGCTGCGTGTTGTTTGGATTAGGAAGTTAATTAAAGAAACATTTCTGTTTCTGGACTCTTTCTCGCTCGTTGTCCAGACTTTCAACATCAAACAACTAATAATAAAGTGAAATTTTCATTTTTCACTTAGTTGTTCATTTAGTTCCTCAGCTGTTTCCTTCCTTCAATGTTCAGATATCCAGAGTAAAGGTTACAGTATGTGGTTGAAGATTGGAAGTGTTGCTGTTGGTTTAATTACTCATCCATCAGAACACGTCAGTCTGCTCACTGTTCTGTTCCTGGAGGATAATTAAAACCATAATGTCCAGCATCTCTCCAACTACGTGTCCTTCAATGTTAGCTCTCATTAACAGGACACAAACATCCAGAAACCACAATCCTCTCTGTGGTTCTCCAGAGGTTTTGGGTTTGAAGGAGAAAACATTGTTGCTCAATCTCAGATCGATCCTCAATGTTTCTTCTTCAGCACATCGATCAGACGCTTCCACATTCAGAGCGTTAAAATGTTGATTAATATGCAGAAACTTCAGTCCGATCATTGGCTTCATTAAAAGAAGTCAAATTAAAAGTCAGTTCATCCATTTCTTATTGATTTCAGTCTTTATTGTTCCATCAGCCTTTTGGGCTCATAATAACATCATTTACCTGTGTGTATCAGACATTATTATTATCAACAGGGATGCACTGATTGATCGTCGGGATCATGGAGATGCTTTGAAGTAATAGAAGACTGTACCATGAAGCTGCTCCATCACAAATCCCCTCACACCTTTCCCACACTGGAGGTGCTGTGTGGGGATCTTTCTGTGAGACTTTCAAATGGTGAAGGTGGAGCTTGTAGTTGTAGGGTTGTACCATCATGGCGGGGGACTGGAGGAAGTCATACTGTAGGGTCATACCATCGTGGTGCTGGAGCCGAGGGGCGTTTCACATCATCAGGACGGTATTTTGAAAGGGGGATTGGCAGGTTGTACCGTAAGGTCGCACCATCATGGAGGCAGAGCGGCGTTGTTAGAAGTCATAGGGTCGTACCATCATGGAGGTGGAGCGGCGTTGTTAGAAGTCATAGGGTCGTACCATCATGGAGGTGGAACGCAGGGAGTAGCTGGGGCCTCTGAAGTGGTGCCACTTGATGCCGTTGAGCTTCCTGATATTGTGGCCGACGGTGTAATAAATACCGTTCAGATTGGAGAAACCGCAAGCGTCAAACCACCAACCTGAGAGAGAGAGAGAGAGAGAGAGAATGAGAGAGAGAGGACAAAGAGGAAGAGTAGTGTGAGATGAGGAGGGAAGAAGAATAAGACAGGAGAGAGAGAAAAGGGAGAGATGATGAGAGAGTTTGTGTGTTTTGGTCCAACGTGCTGAAACGAAGACTTTGCACATTGTGAACTTTTTATCTGGTTCTGCCAAGTTGGCCATCTGACTGAAGCTGTGTGGAGCCGGTGCTGGTTCTGAAGGGACTGCTGAAGGCCCGACTGAGGGTGGAACAAGTTAACTATCAGCTGATGGACAATGTGCAGGCCTTCAGTCACATTTGAGCTGCTGGCAGAGTTTTATTCTCTGAGTAGAGAGCTGATTGTAGATTTCTGATCAGAGAAACACGAGGTTGACAGGTTTAGATTTATTTTAGTAATGGTTTGGTTCTTTTGGTCTCTGCTTGCTGTGGTTCAATAAAGACATTTTGAAAACCAAATTCTCCTCTCCTCCTCTTCCCGTCTCTGCTGAGATGGATGGATTGGACTCTCTGAACATCAGTATGGATCCACAGTGGAGAAACTCTGGCTCTAACACAAACTCTCTTGGTCTCTTTGTTTCTCTTTTCTCACCCCTCTTCTCTTTATCTCTGTCTCTTTTGGACTCTCACTCTCTTTTCCTCCGTTTTCTTTTTCATTGCCTATCTTTATCACCTTTCCTCTCTCTTTTCATTCCCCAGTTCTCCACACTTCTGACAGTCAGAAAGTTGGAGACTCAATTTAGGTTTAAATAACCGTTTATCACTGTCACAACGACACAAATGAGTTGGTGTTTTCAGATCGAACCACGTTAATGTTTAGACAACTAAAGCTATCTGGATTGTGGTGTAAAAGAAACCGCCGACTGTCGACATCTGAGATACCGGTCTCCGATGTCGAACACGACAAGAGGAGAGGACAGTCTCTTAAAAAAAGCTAAATGAGGCTATTTATACTTTTAAATGTGCGTCTCACCGAAATTAAAGAACATGTGGTCATCTAAAGCATTTGATTATCAATATTCACTTTTTGATATTGTTTCACTTCTGTTCTCTCACTCTCTCCTGATCTTTTCTTTCGTTCGCTCTCTGTTGTTTCTTTCTTTTTTATCTCTGCCACGTTTTATTTTTACTTTCTCTGTAAATTGCTGTGATTTTAAATGACTTGCTGACTAATGGTGAACACTGAAGTCTTTTCCTCAGAGGGCTTGAGGTTTTGCCGGAACGATTAAGTTAATCGCCAACCGCAGCCCATCGAGGGGAGGCTGCGGAGAACTAAAGAGCTGTTTGTCTTGGCATTGACACAAGGTGAAAGGTGACGGAGAGACAGATGTTAGAGAGAGCTTTTGGGAAAATATCTCTTATTCTGATCCTCAATTACAAAATATGTATTTTTGGAATAATCAAGTATTTTCTTATTTGGTGATTTATGACAGAGAGATATTATTTAATGATGTTTAATAAACTTTTATTAAATCATTATCATGCTTGTGGTAGAGAGGATGGAAGACAGGAGAGGA